ATTTGCCACTGCAGCTTCTGGATCTCTACCACACATCTCCCCAGGTGCAGCCTCTCAGGATCACCCCGCCGCAGCTGCCAGGTCTCGGCCATGCATCTTGCCAGCTGCAGTCTTGTAGAATCTGTCCCGCTGCAGCACCTGGATCTACATGTCTCACCAGCTGCAGTCACTGCCACTGCTGTGCACACTCTCTCTCTTTACCTTGTGTTGCAAAAACCCCAGCTTCCCCTTCACTACCTTCTTCTTTCCCCAGTGGCCTGGCCTACTGCAATGTAGGGAAGTGTAATCTTGGGTGCCATGTCCATTACAGTATTAAACCAATGTCTAGTGCAGTGGGGGCCAACATCTTGGCAGGTATGTCACAAATTAGCTCTGCACCTTCTCCAAGTGCTGCTCATATGCCCTTCCTCTTCCTCATCTGCTCCTATGCTTTCTTCTTCCTGCCCTGTGCTTCTAGCCTAATCTGCTGCTCTGCTTTTTGCTTCCTGCCCTGCCTACTATGGTGCTGTCTCTCCTCTTCCTAGTCTATTGCACCCCACATGAAGCTGCCCATGCCACTTGTTGCTCACTCCTGATTTACTGCTTTGAATTCTCCTGGCAGTATACTTTCCATTAGACTGAGGTCTTTGTAAAATTATGAATAATTCAGTATTTTTCCACTTTGAATGTATATATCAAGGAAGAAAATGTAAAATGCTGTGATAGTGAAACTGGAAAACTTCAACATAACTGGAAAAATTGCCCAAAGTTCTGGCCTTGTGAAGCTTATGAAAAATGATTTTGGGACAGTTATACCCTGTATCACTCTCTCTATTGTAGAATGGATTTAGAAAGCCAAAAAGTTCAGCTACTTTCAGCCTAATCACCGCTTGATGAATCAGATAAAGCAATTGCTCTAGCAGCTTCTGTTCTGGGCCACTGTAGTTTTCAGCCCATAATGCATTTGGAAAATACTTTGAAAGCCAGGAAAGAAAGAGACATGGGGAAATATGGATGGAGCTCTAGGAGGAGTTATGGGCACCTGAAGGATAGTTTAAGGGAGGGAGGATAGAAGTATAGAAGGGAAGTGATGGGCAGAATCCTCTGGGAAGCCAGTCTGAGGAGGAAAGGAGTCCAGAAGAGCTGGCTCTACTTTAGAAAAACCTTATTGAAAGAACAGGAACAAACCAACCTGATGTGAAGGAAGACTAGCAAGTATGGCAGAAGACCAGCTTGACTTAGCAGGGAACTCTTCAGTAAGTTAAAACATAAAGAGGATGCTTATAAGAAGTGGAATCTTGGACAAATGACTAGAGACGTGTATGAGAGTATTGCTCAGGCATGCAAGGATGAAATCAGGAAGGCGAAAGCACAATTGGAGTTGCAACTAGCAAGGGATGTGAAGGGTAACAAGAAGGGTTTCTA